TACCACTACAATCAGGAGAGGAGAAAAGGCACTTTCAAGGCAAGCAGCCGTGCAGATACAAGCTGGTTAACAGCAGATCTCCTTCACCTCGCCCTCTGCCAGGATTCTGGCTAACCTACGAACATCTCCCATGGCAAGGCTGGCGGGAGCCGTGGCATCCAGGGCCTTTCCCACGCTGCCGTCACCCACCAGGACGAAGTGAGGAGGTGACAAGGTGAGGAGCTCCCTGCTGAGCACACTCAACACCTTCCCCCATCTCGGAATTACATCCTGCTCTTCAAAAAAAATTCACCATTTGGATGTGATGGACAGTATCTGATCTTGCTCAGGGATAACGTTATCCCTCCACCCTAATGGCTATTTCCAAAGATTAGCTGAACCCCAGAAGGGTGGGACATGCTATCCATCCCAAGGGAATATCTGGAGGAAAAAAAACCGCTCTCATGTTCCAAGCAGCTGCAAAGGCTGGCAGAACAAGCCGAATGATGCCAGTTAGCTCCTGCTAGGGAGGGAGCAACATGAGCTGGAGTTACACGAGCTTAATTTGGAAGGTCAGTCTACTCCATGTGGACGCTGACTGAAAGCAGGCAGTAAGCGTGAGTCAGCTCCCTGGCTGATGGAAGCGTGCTTGCTTGCAGCTGAACATCCTTGTGTTTTAAAAAACCTCAACATAACCCCTTATTTTTTAATAATCTCCAATATGTTAAGCTGAAATAGTCTAAGTAAGTACTCACCCCTCGTCGCAGACCACGGTCACTCTCGCACCGAAGCTCCAGTCCGTCTCGGTGACCATCCTGCCCCCGGGCAGCGCGGGCGGCTCGCCACAGGACATCCCTGCCAGAGAGAGGGGCCACGGTTAGCGGGAGCACACGGTGATGAAGAAATTAAAAAAGGCCAAATAAGGGACAGGCTTCGAGGGTTATACCCAAAGGTACCAAAGCTTTTCACTCCCCACGTGCCACAACCGAGCTGGCAGGAGCCAGAACCAGCTGTGGGCGAAGATGGGGATTCCCGTAGGGGCTCCGCACTTGCAGGAGGGCGGAGGAGAATATTTGGCGAGATATTTCCATCTCAATAGATTGGCAGCAAGTTGCTCGCCTGTGAAAAATGTGTTGCTGCTACACCATCAGCCTTAATATTACACGGATTTCACCAAGAAACATGCTCTGTCTTCACTTTGAAGTTTGATGCTAGAACTGCGAATTGACATTTCTCCTGAGCATGTACCGTGCCTGCAGGCAAACATATTCCCTAACATGAAAATCAAAACAGATCTGTTTATGCCAGCAGAAAAAAAAAAAACAAACCCCACTATTGATACTCGCTCTGTTCAGTCTTAAATATGAAAGTCAAGGAATACTCACCTAATTTTGTATAAAGCATGTATCTGCTGGGCTGTGCTAACAGCCTGCCTGCACTTCAGCACGTGGGCTGGGAGCAACCGCCTGACCTGCCCCGAGTTCCACGGCTGATTTTCGGCAAGTGGAGCAGAGCAGAACAGAGATACTTACTCCTGCACAGCTCGGCGGGTTCTGACCAAACCAGATTTTCAAGGCAAGTGCTGGTGGGGGAACTTTCCGAGGTGTTCTCGTAGCCGGGGCGGCAGACATAGCTCACGTTGGCCCCCACGGGAAAGAAATTACTCCTCTCGTCCTTCTTGGACAGGGCAGCAAACCGCAGCCTTATTGGGGCAGCACAGCTCCCTGGCAGTCAAGTCAGAGACACGCAAAAGAAACCTTGGAACCACAGAAATGCCCTCTCCACGGTGCTTTTGGAAAGCAAATCGCGTTCATCTCGGGTTGTTTCTGCTTTCATACCAGGCTGCAGTTCCGCCGAACGCATCTTTTGCAAAACGCAGGTGGGGATGTGTTACCCGCAGGGGCGAAGCCGTTGGCAGGCAGGGATTGCGGCACCCAGGGATTGGGAAAAGCGGGAGCATCCTGGGCCCCAGCCGCTGAGACCCTCGACAGCGGGCACGGATCCTGCACCCAACAGCAGCCAAGGGAAGCAGTTTTGAACCTTGCCAGGAGACACGGTGCTGCTGCAGGAGGGCAGAAACTTTAAGCCAAGCAAGAGATGGGAAGGGAGCCGTGTTTTGGAAAAAGGAGATATTTACGGCCACAGGGCTCGGGCAGCTTTGACCAGCGCGGGCCGGGCAGGCACTGCACCGTGTCCGACCTCC